TGCGGAGAAAATCTGTAAACCTTCTGAGCTCGAAGCAATCCTTAGGTCCCATTTTGGGCCATGTGTGGAGCTTGTCTCTAAACGACTGTGCGATTGTGAATGGGTTTCCATATCTCTCGTCCAAGAGCTCCCACGCCGCAACATAGGCAGACGCAGTGCCAAGTAGGAAATAGCCATTGATCGCTTTCTTTGCATCTCCATCCACATACCTGCGGAGGTAGTAGATCTTCTCATTTTCCTGGATGTTCTTCTGGTCGATCAGCGTTTTAAATGACAGTCTCCAGTCACTGTACATCAATGGATCCCCACTGAATACTGATGGTTCGGGGATTGGGATTCTGTTGGTACTCACCGCATCTGCTAGCACCTTGACGAGCTCTGCTGTACTTTCATTTGGAGAGGTGATCACAGTCCTTGGTGCAGAAAACACATACGTGGATGCAGGGCTTGTGGGATCAGGCACTTGATTGACTGTTCTCAATTCACTCTTCAGTATGATATCTTTCTTCTCTTCTTCTGTGACCTCCACTTGGTCATACACTTGTATTCTCGCTTGTGCTGCATTTAGACCTTTCATTGTCTCCAAATGCTGTACCTTTCTTTGCCTCTCATCCAGAGTCCTTTGGAGAGCTGTGTGTTCCGCTTCTAGTTGAGCCTTGATTTTAGCTTCCTCCTCTTCTCTCTGGATTCTTCTTTTTAGATTTTCTGCTTCTCGTTCCATTCTCCATTTCGACTCTTCTGCTTCTTGTTCCATTCTTATTTTCAACTCCTCTGCTTCTCTTTCCAAATTACGCTTTACAGCTGCTGCCTCTTGTTCAGCTATTCTCTTCTGAGCTTCTTCTTTCAGTCGCTGTATTTCCCGTTGTTCTCTTTCTTGTTCTTGTGACACCTTGAGAACGGCTTGGCTTGCAGCGGCATCAGCAGCAGCTTCTTGTCGTCTTTCAGTGGACCCATTTGTGTGTAGCGAGGTCCTCTTCGAGTCTGAGATGAGAGAACTGATACTAGAGTTGAACAGAGAACCTGCTTCAGGCCAGTCATCTTCTTCATCAGGTGTAAGCCCACCCAGTCGTCTTGAGGCTCTGTCTATGATGAACTGAGATACATGGACACACAGATCAACTTTCCGACGTGTTTCCTGATCTGGAGTTTCGATTGTCCGAAGTTCATTATAAACACACTGGACATCTGCAGAGAGACTATGAACGTCATCGATGACATGGTTGAGCATATCATCAGATACTCTATCTGTTGCTTCTGATAATGTTTTCTTTGAGTATTTAATGTGATTTCTCCATCTACCATACATATATCTGAACTTGTCTTGAAGACCTTTAATTTTTTCCTCCTGCATTCCTCTACCCTTCTCTGTCAGAGTTCTGGATCTTTCACTTCGTCTTACTGTCTGTTCTTCAGCAGTATCACCAACTTGACTCTTTTCAGGCTGCTTTCGGGAATCTTCTTTGTCACGAGTTTTATCCCTAACCTGACCAGTAACCTGCTCTTCTACTTGATGAGTAAGCTCTCCTTGTCCTGACATGTTGTACGCTGACATGTTGTACACAAACTGAATATGTAAATCTAATAAATCTGTAAGCCTATTTATACTATGGCTGCTTGCTGTGTGATTATTTATAATTTTTAGAATTGTTTTTCTAAAATAACCTATACTTATGTAGATTAAACCCCTTATTAATTTAAATGCCTCAAATAAGGTTTAACAATGAAATTATACTTTAAACCTCAAAGCACACTTATTTAAATACTTGCAAAAAGGGAATTAAGTCAGACCTTGTTATCTTGAAAATCACACCATATACAGGTGCTGGTCATAAAATTAGAATATCATGAAAAAGTAGATTGATTTCAGTAATTCCATTTAAAAAGTGAAACTTGTATATTATATTCATACATTACATACAAACTCATATATTTCAGATGTTTATTTTGTTTAATTTTGATGATTACAAATGACAACAAATGAAAATCTCAAATTCATCATATCAGAAAATTAGAATATTGTGAAAAGGTTCAAAATTGATGGCCCCTGGTGCCACACTCTAATCAGCTAATTAACTCAAACCACCTGCAAAAGCCTTTAAATGGTCTTTCAGTCTAGTTCTATAGGCTACACAATCATGGGGAAGACTGCTGACTTGACAGTTGTCCAAAAGACGACCATCGACACCTTGCACAAGGAGGGCAAGACACAAAAGGTCATCGCTAAAGAGGCTGGCTGTTCACAGAGCTCAGTGTCCAAGCACATTAATAGAGAGGCGAAGGGAAGGAAAAGATGTGGTCGAAAAAAGTGTACAAGCAAGAGAGATAACCGCACCCTGGAGAGGGTTGTGAAACAAAACCCATTCAAAAATGTGGGGGAGATTCACAAAGAGTGGACTGCAGCTGGAGTGAGTGCTTCAAGAACCACCACACACAGACGTATGAAAGACATGGGTTTCTGCTGTCGCATTCCTTGTGTCAAGCCACTCTTGAACCACAGACAGCGTCAGAAGCGTCTTGCCTGGGCTAAAGAGAAACAGGACTGGACTGCTGGTGAGTGGTCCAAAGTCATGTTCTCTGATGAAAGTAAATTTTGCATTTCCTTTGGAAATCAAGGTCCCAGAGTCTGGAGGAAAAGAAGAGAGGCACTTCATCCACGTTGCTTGAAGTCCAGTGTAAAGTTTCCACAGTCAGTGATGGTTTGGGGTGCCATGTCATCTGCTGGTGTTGGTCCATTGTGTTTTCTGAGGTCCAGGGTCAACGCAGCCACATACCATGAAGTTTTAGAGCACTTCATGCTTCCTGCAGCTGACCAACTTTTTGGAGATGCAGATTTCATTTTCCAACAGGACTTGACACCTGCACACAGTGCCAAAGCTACCAGTACCTGGTTGAAGGACCATGGTATCCCTGTTCTTAATTGGCCAGCAAACTCTCCTGACCTTAACCCCATAGAAAATCTATGGGGTATTGTGAAGAAGAAGATGCAATACACCAGACCCAACAATTCAGAAGAGCTAAAAGCCACTATTGGAGCAACCTGGGCTATCATAACACCTGAGAAGTGCCACAGACTGATCGACTCCATGCCACGCCGCATTGCTGCAGTAATACAGGCCAAAGGAGGCCCAACTAAATACTGAGTGCTGTACATGCTCATACTTTTCATGTTCATACTTTTCAGTTGGCCAACATTTCTATAAATCCTTTGTTTTTATTGGTCTTCAGTAATATTCTAATTTTCTGATATGATGAATTTGAGATTTTCATTTGTTGTCATTTGTAATCATCAAAATTAAACAAAATAAACATCTGAAATATATGAGTTTGTATGTAATGTATGAATATAATATACAAGTTTCACTTTTTAAATGGAATTACTGAAATCAATCTACTTTTTCATGGTATTCTAATTTTATGACCAGCACCTGTATGGGTTACAGTCAATGAAATACTTAAAAACATTGCAAAACATGTGATATGTGGGTGCTTATTATTATTACTCTCTATCAACACACACTTCACTTACACAATAACTAATAGCACATTTACAAAATTGCCCTTTCTTAGATCACCAACTTGGAAAGTGTCCAAGCTCCTTATGGCTTCTTTATGCAAATGTAGCTCTTATGCAATCTTCTTGCCTTTATGTGTTTGTGAGATGCGAGCTGAGTTTAGCCTTCAGTTTGCGCAGTTATGAAGTTCGATGCGCTGTCCCATGTTCGATGAAAAGGACTCTGGCGCCATCTTCTGTCCCACTTGCGTCGATGAAACAGTCCGAGTTTTCACTGTAATTCCCCTCAGGCACGACGAGCACAAATGGATTTCTTGAACTGATTTAATGAAGCCTCCAAATCTTCATTAGCACCGTGAAAACTGTACAGAACAATACAGTTGATACAATTAACTAATTAGCTACCATCAAACCACACAGTGTACATTGTAGCTGGCTTACAACAGAATGAAACAATGTAACGTTATATAAAAATAATAAAATACCTCGTTGGCTGCATGCCACAATGAGGGAATTATCCATGAATTAAAAAGGTGATAGTCCTTGATAGATCTTGATGCTGTCCTTGGTTTTTACTCAACAAACTTCAGCTTATAATGTTTGTGAGTAATGTGAAAAACCTCCGTTGATTTCCATGAAAGACGGGCGTTGGTGTTTGTTTCCATGGTAACCCAAGACGGACGTTGGTGAAATAACGTCTTCTCAAAACAGCGCAAGAACAAGCTTGTAGATATAATCATGAGAATAATCATAAATAAATCAAACCATGTGTCACTCAGTAAAACAATATAAAGATACAATCATATTTACAATAATTAATATGAAATGTAAATAACTATATATACATATATCAATATCAATGAATTATATCAATAAACTGTCTGCATCATCATGGATACATTTACAATATTGGTTTGGGGTGTCTTTATGTACTTCATTAAGTGTTATAAAGGATGACCTATCAAACTTCCCTTTCTTTAAAACCTAGTTTTTTTTTTATGAAATTTTACTTCTTGACATTTAGGTTTAATACAGATTTCTTGATTTTCACCATTGTTGGAAAACATCATGTTAATGTACTTTCCAACTTATTGTATTGTTCCATTTAAAAAATGAAACAAAGCAACCTGATATTGTGCAGAAGTTTTTTTTCTTTTTTTTTATGCAATTGTCATGGTTAATTTTGCTGAATCTTTATGGAAATTAAATATTCCATATGATAGAGTGAAAATTTGCTTTCTTATATGTTGGAACAGCTAATAAATAAGGTGCTCTTATTAAACTAGCCATAGCAATCGTCTTAGCTTGTTGATTGTTCTATTAAACTGTGTTACCAAGCAGTTATGGGGAAAGGCTCTCATGGATGAGTATTATGTTTTACTTTCAACAAGAATCAGCCCTTTTTCAAGAGTAAAATTTTATTTCTTTTAAAGACTTTACAAATAGTAAAGGTATGTTATTTTCTTTAACCTTGTGTGTTTTCTTGTAGGATGTCCAGGTACCAGTTTGCCCATTGTGTAACACTCCTATTCCCATAAAAAGAGGAGAGATGCCTGACATTAAAGTTGGGGAGCACATCGACCGGGATTGCAAATCGGACCCGGCGCAAAGGAAGAGAAAGGTAAAGATAGCAGAGATGCACTTACCTTTATTTGTTGGAATCAACAACAATAATACGTTATTTTTATAATTTTTTTCTCTTTTACAGATATTCACCAATAAATGTTCTAAAGGTGGCTGTAAACAAAAGGAAATGATACGAGTCACCTGCGATCAGTGTCATTTAAATTACTGTCTCAAACATCGCCACCCTCTAGACCACGATTGTAAGACGGATGGAAAGCCTCTTTCCAAGTCTGGGTGGGTACAGTTAAGCTTAGTATTTGGAAGCTTTGCTTTAATTTAGTCTGTCCCATTTTTAGCTGGTGACTTATTCTTTTTTTGGTTATTTTCTATAGAAATGCTGCTTTAATGAGGTCCCGAGGTGCTTCCTCCTCTTCTGCCTCTAGTTCTCGTTCATCTGCTTCAGGAAACCCCAGACCCGTTTCTAACGGTTCAACCATAAATAGTAGAGCTCACAGCTCAGGGTGAGTGTTTTGTTCACTAACGGATGTATCATTACTTTTAAAACGGATAGTAATTTGCTCTCTGTGCTCCTCAGCTCTACCCCACGGATTCCTACATCCGTTTCAGCACAGAATGTAATACCCCCTTCAGCATCATTTCAGGCAAACATGGTAAACAGAGCTATGATTAAATTACCTTATTTAAGGCAATATAATAGTATAATAAAGTCTGCTTGTTCTTTGTTACTTCAGACAGAGGAGCAGGCTTTACAAAGAGCTCTAGAGATGTCCTTGGCTGAAACAAGGCCAGCTGTTCAGCCGACCCTAAGGTGAGATACTGAATCAATATTTTAACAAAGTGCACTGAAACTTCCTACATTGTTTTTTTACTTGAAACTCCTGTACCCTGATTTTTATTTTTTTATACTTTCAAAGTCAAGTAAAGGCATAAAATATGTAACCTTTGCTGAATTCACATAGTATTTGTACTTTTACAAACACAAGAATCAGTCTTGTCTTGCTCCTGCTTCAACTGTTCGAGCCTGACCCAATCGGCCAATCACATTGCAGTTTTATGGTATAAGGCGCAACAACAGCAGTAGCTGAACCAAAATAAACATGGCTGCACAGGAGGGAGTAGTGTAGCTGCTGCTAATGCGTGTGTTTTGATAGAATTCATAGTAATCTTTGAACGAGGAACAGCAACAATGTAAAAGCGTGAGTTCTTGTTTCTCATGGCTTCTGCTGCTATTTCATTTTTTACCATTAATGGCTAAATCCGTGACTCTTAAGGACGGAGACAGACGACTTTGTTGCTAGAGGTGCAGCTGACATCACAGATCATCTGAAGCAAATTAAGTTTTAAGATAATTTAATGCATATAATATCCTGGATTCAAAAACTTGAAAAGCAGTCCACCTGTTCTATTGTTTGCCTCTGTGACAAAGTATGCACATGTGTTTTTGTTTAGCCTATAAAGTTTGTTGTTTCAAAGGGTGCTCATATTGCAAATTGATGGTTGCCCTGACAATGAGATCTGCCCTAATTTACAGAGGCAAATAAATTTTATGATGATGTTAACCCTGAACACATACATTCATTACATGTCGTGACTGAAGGATTGGGGCAACCTCTGTATAAAGGATTAAGGGTATGGAAAAGCTGCACCTAGACACCATGCCTAAACAAGCACACATGTTTGTAATTGTCAAAATATCCTGTTTTTATAGCTAAGATCCACCAACAGACAAGTTTCATAGGTATATTTGCAAAAAAGTAGGTAAATGTCTTTGTGTTAAAACAAAAAATAAATATATTTCCAGTTGTTGCACTTTATGACAGACATTTTAATGGCCTAATTACAGCATAATTTTGACAACTGACAGCATAATAGTCCATTATGCTGAAATAACGCTGCGAAAACCCCAATAAGGTGATAGAAAGGCATCTTGGTGAAGCTCCAGCTCTTTTATTAACTTTCTGTGACAGTTTTGAAATCAAATTGCGAAATGTTTGCAGCATTTCATGGTAGATTAAATTATTATATGGATTTCAAACACATTTCAATTAGTTTTTTCCTTTCCTGACACGTTTGGAAGGACCTTGGCGTTGCAGACAGCATTCGTCAGTGAACAAGAAAGATAAAAGTGTTTCAAACACATAAAAGTTAACGATTAGTGGTAGGCAGGCTCTGTACTGTCCTCGGCTCTGTGACTGTCATGAAATGAGAACACTGCTTTTAATCAGTCTGCTGGGTTTCTTGTTCAAGTCTTACCTGCAAAACCTAAAGAAAGATGCAGATTGTTTGTCTCTCTAGCCGTCTCCTGTTTGATCCAGTTTGGATCAAAGTTTGAATGAAGAATTTTGTTGGCTTGCAGGCAAGTTTGACATTAAGTGTGCAAGGGCTCTCAACGGCATTGCCTCAGAATGGGAGGGTTAATCCCAGTGGGAAGAATGTTTTTAAATGGGACCCAGGGATAGTCCTTCCTCTGGGGATTTCCTTCTTTAGGACTATTTCACCTACTGTCTGAAAACATTGGGTTTCATCAGTCTGTGGACCATCCATAATTCACATTCCATGCTTGTACATAGATCTCATGACTTTGAGGCACATCATGGCAATGAAATATGCATGAGCAGCAGAATTCCAGGGGTTTTCTTGGTGAGAGTTGTGGACATCATGGTTTGTACATAGCAAGCTCTTTCTGGGTTTGGTTTTGCGAGATTCTGAATTAGAGATCCTCCTTCATGTTTTGTCATTTCAATTTATTTACAATATAGAATCGAGTCGGAAAAATTTTCATAAATTTAGTTGGACCAAAACATCAACAGCCCTTTATAACTAATGGTACTGTCTTACCATGAGTACCCCCTTAGACAAAAGAATGAATGTCTGTCCAAAATGTGCAGTAATTATGTAATGGAATGAACGATAATTAATTATAGAATAAAAAGCATTTTGTTTAATCTTTTTAACTTGAGCATTTAATTCTTTGGCATATTATTCTTTCCAACTCAAATAAAAACAAAAAAAAGTATAATAAATATGTCACCAGGAAGCTAGTAAGGAATAAAAATAAATACAAAATAGAATCATATTATGAATCTTTTATATCTATTATAATCTATTATAAATCTGGAGCTCCTCCGAGTAACTCCCTTATAATCACAATGGGACAAAATACTGAACAAAAGTTATAGTCAGACTCACTCCATTTGTTTTACTTTGTTTTCAACATTCATGACACCTGAGTTGCTTTGATGATCTCAGATGTCACAGCTGAAGGAACTCAAGCATATAAGAAAAGCTTAGTTTTTGGTTGAAAATGCTAGTTTTATTTTTTAGTTGGGTCCTCTCAAAGTAGAAAAGATCCCAGCCCTGTTTTATTTTATTAACTAAGAAATAGAATTTCTTCACGTACCCATTGCAATGCACCCGTAGACCACTAGGGGTGCAAGTACCCCTTGTTGGGAATGGCTCCTTTATAGCATCCTTTGATAACTTCATTCCTTCTTTGCCGATATCCAGAACTCTGAGAGCATCTTGGAGTCAGGAGCTGTTTTTGCTGATCAAGCGCATGACGGTTTACCAGATCAAATGAAAGGTGACATTCCCTTTGTTGCTGTCAACTGTTAGCATATTCAATAACATTTTTCTGAAGATTTTTGCCTCTTTGAAATTCTTATATTTCCAGAAAACAAAGTTTTTTTTAAAGCATTTAGGTGGTTTTATGCACGTCTGTATGTTAATTGAAATGCACAGCATCTTTTCAATAATTTCTTCCTTAATAAAAGAAAATCGTTCAGAGTCATGTACAAAATGCGGTTTCATATTTTAATCTCTATTGGAATCTAGATTTTCAGCGATTATAAAAAGGAAATGATCGATTATTTTGCTGCTTTACTCTCTTGTTAATTTCCTGTTGTAAATCAAGCGGCCCTCGCTGCTAATGGACATCATAAACTGGTGCAGAGATGTAACCATGCAGCGTTCAAGATAATATTTAACTTACAAATATAATTCAATTATTGGCTACGTTCAGTTCAACATCACAGCGTCCTTCAGAGAAGTTTACTTCTGGACCAACAGACTGCTGCGTGTCTCTGAACTCCTCTTTGGCTGCTGATGCTTTGTGTCGTAGCTCTGGAGGAGTCCGAAGGTTCATACAGGCAGAATCAAAGCTGGTCATAAAGCCAGAGGTTAAATGAAATGAAGGAAGCACCCATCAGGACATCAGGCCACTGCAGCCGTTAGCAAATATTTAACATCAAATATGAACCCCCCCCCCCCCTCGTCAGGATCTAACGTCAAAAACCTGCAACTGTGCATGTATTGTTTAAAGAAAGAAACAATACAGGAGGTGTTCTGGACTGACTGACGCACTAAACTGTGTTTATAAGTGCATCTGTCAATGCAGAGCAAAGAGTCTCTGATCTATTGCAGATTATCATAGATTTGATCAGGGAAGATGGAGTAGCCTTAAGGCAAAAAGGTTTCAGGCTATTGGGGCCGTTTTGATCTCATATTTGTTTTAATATTCTTGTTATGTCATCCTGCTCCACTCAGTTATCCCTCAACTTATCTAAATTAAAATTGATTTCAAATGGACTCTTTTCTGTCCTTACTCTAGTTATTATTTGAAATAAATAAATAACTCCTAGTCCGAAATCATCCTTATTCACATGTTCACTTAAGTTTTCCTGTTGTATGTTCACATTTGTGGATTGCATCTAAAAATATCAAACATTTTCTATTCAAACGATGGAATACATTAACAGTTTCTTGAATTGTATTATAGGTCATCAAATTAGTGTCAGTTTAGTCTATCAGAGGCTGCATGTATTTATTTTTAATGTCAGGCAGGTGTTGGTGCAAATGTATTGAAATACTTCGGCTGGATCCCAAACCGCCCCGATTTTCTGTCAATGTGACGAAGATTAAGCAAACCAGTGGAACTTACATTTGGCAAAACATGTTAACTTTGCCACCAAGCCGCTGTTACATTTGCTGCTGATTTCCAGCGAGCCTGTATCTGATGGATAGTCACTATTTAAGGGCTGAACGTTCCACTCGCCCTGCCCGCTACGTGGTTTCGTTCGGCACTTAGTCCCTCCACAGGAACGCTCAAACAGAGAGTTAGTGCTTAGGGTTAATGTTTAGGGGCCAGTTTGGGATTGGGCCTTCATGACGTCTCATGAACCCATCACTACCTGCCACCCCTCTAGAATAAACACCGTCAAGACAAAACTTTAAGAAATTTGTGTCCCATTTGGAGAAATTGGTCTGTTTTTTAAAATGTTTGACATCCAAAAGATAACATTATTTATAACCTGTTCAATAATTTCATGTTAAAGTTTATGAATAATTGTGTTAAAGAATCAAGATCTCAATTTCATTATATTTTATTCATTTTTGCCATAATGGAGCAGCCCCTGTACAAACACATGAGATGGTTTGATTGGACGGCAGTACTTATTGCTACATTTACTTCGCTTTAATAGTATCTCTGATCATGCATCACTGCTTTGCCTGTTTAACCACATATTTCAGCTCATGATTCATTTAAAGTTTTGGTTGGGATTGTTTTGTAGGGATTGCATTTTGGTCATGAAATCACACTCAGCTGTATAGCACACATTTCACAGTTAAACAAGTACCATGTGAAACATTCTTAGTAGGTAAAAACCAGTTTCTTCTAGAAAACGTCTTGTCCAGTTGCCTAAAGTTTTAATGCTTGATCATGAACTGGATTACTGAGAACCCTCACAGATACCTTAGTAGGATAGAAACACCTGATCCTATCTGCTTCTGTTAAAAGTTTATCTCAGATATTGGTTAATAATACATGTTTCAGTTATTTGGATACCCATTCATGTTGACTTTTGTTTTGAGTAAAATCACTTGATTGAGCCTTTTCCAACACACCACACTACAAAATGCGTGCTAAAAGTATGTATGTCTTACGTTGATATTAAGACATCTCTAGCTGCTTGTTGTTGAGGTTTACAAACTGCTGTCAGATGGTAGCTGCTGCTTGGTGGTAAAAATGCATGTCACAAAACCGGGTCTTTTCATGTGCATAAGTAATAAGCTGATACTATTATGGACATTTGGCAACTTGCACACATAGACAGGGACACACTAGTAAACCTTGTTAGGTTTCAACAACTTAGACTGTTCCAAAAAAGTTATAAAAACAATCCACTGGACTTTGTTTCCAAGTTTGAAGATGTTTCACTTTCCATCCAGGAAGCTTTTTCAATAAAAAATGTCAGAAATAGCATTGAGTTTGAGGTTTTATAGAGTGGACCACAAACAAGGCCTTGTTTTAGGTTAGAACTTAGAACTTAAAAGGTCTGCTTGTTTACAAAGATGGCAAAAACCCTCTTCAGCTAAAGGAGAATTTAGTTCTGTTAGCGGCTGTTATCAGATTGGCCAAACTCTGTCCATCGCTGCTGTGGAGACCGTTTAATAACGATAAAATGATACGCAAGGGGACCTAAATTACTCTGTTTTCAGAAATTTAGGGGCCTAATAAAGTGCATGCTGCACCTTTAAGATTTGTCTGTAAATGTTTTGTTAAAAAAAAAAAATGTGTCCCTATAATCCTTGAAGTATTTGTTACTTCGGGTTAGTTAGTCACAAAATATCATTGCCAGATATAGCTACATGTATTGTAATCGGACAAAATGTACGTACATGAGAATACATTTTCATGGCGCTATACAGGAGTGTAAACTGCAAACAGCATTTATGTTTAAGATAAGCATTCATGTTATGATGTACTGCATTGCCAATATTGCATTGAAAACAAAATGTTTTACTTGGACTTTTGCCTTAATGCGAAGCAGAGAACTTGAGTAAACAAAAAATATGAAGAGTTATTATGTTAAACATCCAAAAATGCCCGAATGTGTAGCGCTGTTGTATATGCAATACAAAAAAAGCTGGTGTTGCATAAATCATTTGAATAACGTTACACTTAAATTGGAATAAGAGATCCACAGTCAGTTATTCTCTCTAGTCTTTGTGGTGTTTTCACTCAGGTATTTTTCCTCTCAGCCCTCAGGAGCAGGAGGATCTGGCTCTGGCTCAGGCTCTCGCTGCCAGCGAAGAAGAATACAGACGTCAACAACAGAGACAACAGGTACCCGGCAAGCTTAGGCACCAGTAGCATGCTTACTGGAACACATGTAGGTACTCAGTTGTCATGGCAACACATCCTCTTAGGAATTTTTCAGTTTGTTTTAGGCGCCAGATGCAGGGCTAATTTGTAATAAATTCTTAATAGATTTTTGAAATCTGTGGATGAGAACTCACTGTTTCTAACATATTTTCTTTTGCTTTCTCTTTAGGGAAGGGAGACTAAACAATCCACCTGCTGCCTTTCGTAGTCTATGGGCTTGATTTATGCTTTAAGCTGTGCGAATGATTTGCTATGAACTGTATTACTAAGTCAATACTCAGAATAAGTGATTGTTCCATGAAGAATTACTCTTGAAGGTTGCTGCAATCTTGCCGCTTTCCACATATAAGCACATGTACTTTTCTGCAGGATTTGTCATTTTTATGAAATCGATATCCGTGTAAATATTTTATATGCCAATCACGATGAATCTATTATATTGCCTCATATAGATAATGAATAAATTAAAGGTGCACTTGAATTTTAACTTAGTCCTGTGATTGTAATCTAATGCTCTTCAATAAAAGTGAAGGTTGCTATTAAAGCACATCAGGAAGTCCATCACAGAAGTGGAGTGGAATAAATTTGCCCACCCTTTTAGTGGGAAATGTCAGTGTGTGAAAGTTTTCTAGCACAGCATGTTTGTGTATTCTTCATGTGCCACAAAGAGCTGGAATATTAATGGCCACAATTTATGAGTGACTTTCACTTAATCTGTTTTTTACATTTAGTATGTAAAGATAAAGCGAGGGTAATACGAAAAGGAATGTCAGTATTGATGATTTAAATGTTTAATGATGAGAATGTGTGATAAGTCAAGGTTATGTGTATATCACGTTCTGACCTCAAGACAATTCAAAGTGCTTTATATAATGAAAAACCAGGTGGAATTTATGGCAAAACTGTTTCCAAACTGGACTAGAATTACAGATGATGCATCAGTGTGCACAGCTTTATATTATATTACTTTGAACTATTGTGCAGTCAGACCTATAATAACTTCCATCGTTTTTTAGGTAGCAGACTTTAAATTGTTTGATGGATTGTTCTACTGTTCAGTCTTGACCTGCTCAAAAATCAGTTCATATAAAGCATCTGATTGGGAGAATTTTTCTCCCAGGTTATTTCTGCTCTGAAGATCACAGTGAAATGCCAACAGACTATTGGAGAAATGCATTTTGTTGTTTTTGTCAGTTCTTATAAAGGTGCTGCGTAAAACGAATTTTCCCCTCCAAAGATCTGTTCTGTTTTAGCCATCACATCACATATTAAACATGTGGATGACGTGCATTAATAGAAAAGCACATTTCTAATAATTACAAAGGGTTACAGCCTAACAGGCCAGTATCCCCACCCAGCTATTCATCATAAATTAACATTTTCTGTTGTAATTATTGGACATGCAGGACCTAAATTGCTAGATCTCCTAAAACAAGTATTCTTTTAAAAAGATAAAGAAATGCAACTTATGTCCAGAATTGACTAGTGTAGGAAAAAATAGAAATGGTAACATCTGTCTGAGAATGATTGCAATGTTATTTCTAAGGCTTTGACTGCATTTGCATAAGAGACATAAAATTAACAGCCTAACTCCAGAGAAAACGTCATAAAATCCAGACAAACCTCCAAAGCATTGCAAACCGCCCTTGCCTTCATTAAGGTCAGTGTTCATGAAGCAACCATAAAAAGGTGACTGTTCTGTTTTTGTCTGAATTTCATTATTTTTGTTCAATCAGACTTGGTATCAAGAAATCTATTTGAATATTGAATGTGTATTGTATTAGCTCAGAAAAGTCTGCAAAGGCACTTCTAGATTCTAGCCCTCCAACAAACAGTAAGAGCTATGAAAGGAAACATTACAGAATTGACCCTTTATATCAATGGCCATCCTGCTGAAATTACTCCCATTTATACAACTCGTTCAGGACGCTTCAAAAATGGCATAAATCAGTATCTAAAGCACTGCATGCTGCAAGTAAAGTCGGTGTTTAAGATTCCAGAATAAAAAAAAGAATCAAAATTGATGTAGAACACAAAAAAAGACAGGGTAGAATAAAAGAGAAATGTATACACACACAGTAAACAGCAGGGGGCAGTAGTGCCTCAATAAAATTCTCCCCTTTTTTTAACAGCTTGAATTCTAATGTATAATTTTCTTAGACAGATACAATTGAAATTCAAACCAGGAGTCTTTTCATCCAACATTCATGCCCTGCTTGCTATTACTATAATAAAATGAAAGAAAAAAAAATGTTTTTAATATACACAACCTGTCTAAATAGCCTGAAAGCAGGTTGTCCGAATACATTTGCATAATGGTAAGTAAATGCCACAGTTTGGAGGCACACAGCTCCTTAGCATGCCCTTCGACCTGGAACAGCTTGCAAGTGTCACAACAACTCTAATTATCATGATCTGATGCCACTGATGTGGTTACATGAGTCATCCTTTTGCAGGGATACTAAAGTGATGTGCAGCCCTGCTATTGTAGAAGGGATTCATTTTAATGCAAATTGTATTCTTTAATTTTGCAATCACAGCACGCTCTAATAGCATGCAACAATGCAGGTATGCGCTAGACAATCTGATCAAGTCTTGCTGCATTAATTTACATCTTACAGATAGAAGAAGGCAAATCTAGTACCTTTTATCTATGTTAAACAATAATGACAACATTAATAAAGAATGATTATTAACAATGATAAAAAAGTGAATAGGTATGCTGGCTCTATCAGTAAATTTCCATTCCTGACCATAGGATTTGATCATACTTTGAGTAATGCAATCCAAAAAATTTATTACTTCACATTATTGTTCTCCTAAATCAAACTGAAGGTTTTCTTCAGTCACAGAGATGATTTACACACAGAGTACATAGATTTCAAAGTATAAAAGAGGGTGGTTACATAACATTAGCAGACAAGATTATGCTTCCTGCTCTTTAGATATCAGATCGCCGTAATCTAATGGAAAAAATGCCCATTTATTAATGCAAAATGTCTTTGTGTTGCATTCAATATATTGTAGGTAATTAGTATTAGAGCCATTGATAAAACAGAAAACTTTTTTTTAGGACTCGACTGCATACATTGCTTAAAGATAAAACCTGTCTTGCAATACTTTCAACGTAATTGAAGAAACAAAATAAAATCATTTTTATAGTTTTGGCATAAATTCTTTTTCCAATTGTTTTAAATGTCGCTGTTGAAGGAAACAATCATTCTGACAGGTTTTAGGACAACAAATTTTCTCGTTCCTTCTATCCTTTCTCTACATTTGTAAGTCTAAGTGGAGGGTTTAAGCATGATTTACCTGCTTCCCATAATAAAACATGCTCTGCTTATAGTGCTAATTAACTCTATTGTTAAAAAGGAACATGAAGATTAGTTTACAGCTCTTTTTTCATCTAGAACCACATTGGAATATAAAGTTACAGTATTGACATGGCGATTTGAAGAATGAGTGCAACAGATTCATGTAAAAAGAAATGTGAGTCTCAGTATAAAATAAATCACAAACCTGTCTTGAATTTAAATAATCCTCTTCTCAGATATTAAGAGTAACAAGCTGCTGGTTTTGATGCACTAGTTATTTACAACAAACACTAATATGTTTCTGCAACCTCTATTATGATTTGAGTTTACATTTTCACTATCTTCTGACACAGAAAGGGTGCTCGATTTTATTTGTTGGATAGTGTACACAGTTTTTTTGAGATAATTTTTTTTTTCCAGAATTCCCAGAATATATCTGTAAGGTTTATTTCTAGATTTTTAGCATATGATTTTATCTGCCTGCTATTTTAAGTATTTTGCTTTTTATTCCCTGGACCTTTGTAACAAAATGTGAACTGTTGCAAAACCTCTTAAAAGCCCACAGCCGGGTCTATTTGGGAGAGAAACAGTAAATGCTCTTTAGCACAAAAAACTAGCAATTCAACTCAAAGAGCAGTTCTTGACTCAGGTCATGCTCATGTTTTGGTCTTTTATAATCCTGTGATTTTACATGACTGAAAGGATGTATGTTAGATTTATAATTAATTCTGAATCAAGTCTATAATGCATTAGATTAAGAGTTCAGAACTCAGTTTTGTTCATCCTGTTAGCCCCCTCAATGCAGGTAGTATCTTCATGCCAGATGCTGAGATCTGCCTTCAGTCCTCTGTTAGTGGGATTCTTCTTCAAGCCAGTTTACTAGCAATAGATCATTCTTACCAGGGGCATTTTGCTTCATTTCAATGTTTGGCAAAATGAAATTTTTGCTGATTTTGTTTATTTCCCCTGGAAACAAAGTGCTTTTATACTTGCCGTTATAGATAAACATACATACATATAATTATAGCAATGACAACAGACCAGCTTCATAAACTGAAAGAAAAAATGTTTTACACATATAGAGACTGAAATTTAGTCTGTTCCTCTTTTACTAAATAGCTAAGATTCCGGTGGATATGAGTGAATCTATGAAGATTGATATGAAAGTCTTTGTGTCAGATTCTAAAGTGGTATGTAATATGGCTGGAAAGTTGCGTGCGTGGTCCATTAAAAAATATATTGTGCTATATCTACTAAAATCCCAAATAAGGTAGGCTTTTGTAAAAAAATAAAATAAAATAATTAACTGCTAGGCAATTTTTTTGGTGAGCTAAAAAGATTTTAAAAAGTACAAAAAATAAATTGATGACTTGAAGATACATATGTTGTATATGTTTAAGTATATTTTGGCAGTGTCAACAAGAAAGTTTACATCTTTCCAGACATCCTGGACACAGTGCAGTGGAAACTTAAATATTTTTCCTTTTTGTCCATTATTAAAGGTGATAATGCAGTATTTTATTTCTAACATGAAACAGGAAAAATGGTTAAGTTACTAACAGAACTCTTTCTAAAAAATGGTTCAACAACTTCATAATGACAAAACAAAAGACTAAACTTTTCTTTCATTTTCTCTTACCAACGGTCCTCATTCCCTATACACAACTTGAATAAACTAAAGCAGCTGCAGTAGAATATGATTTTTCAGCAATAGAGCTATGTGAACAGAAGTTACATGGTAGCAAAATACAAAGAGAAGCTATTTATGTTTTAACATTGTAATCCATTTTACCATTGATTACCATTGATAAAATCCATATCCTTTGTGGGGAAAAAGGTGCCTTTGTATTCATCAATTCACCAATTTGAAATTTAGGAAATTCTCTGGGAATGATGTATCGGAATAACAAGCCAGGTAGTGAACATAAATATGTGGTCGCTCTTCTAACAAGCTCAAAGATTACATTTTTTATTTAATGATTTTTTTTGCACTCCTGTGCTCCTATGAAGGGTAAGGATACATGTTTTATTGATTAGCTATGTCCAAGTCTTCCAGCTTGCTATGTAGGCACTGCATGTTTCCAGACAAAAAACATGGGGATGATTTAGAGTGAATAGATGGGGGATTTTTAGTTGCAGACACCTGTGTGACCATAGCTTAATAGGATATAATTGTTAAAACTAAATATGATCTGGTTTTCTGTCAGATCTGACTCTAAACTGAGTCATAAATAGAGATTTTTTTTTTAGAATAACCCAAGCCACTCTAACAATAACAACATGAAATGAATGAAAACAA